CGTATTGCAAGCTTAACGTTGAATTCTTTTATTGAAAATAATGATATTTTACGTTAAAGTCATTCAGATGGCATCTGTGTGGGAAACTGCCTCTACTAAAATCCACAAGGGAATTTCAACAGCTGATGCATCTGTTCAATTTTTCTACCATTTTTTTGTGCGTCTGCTTTTTGGTTTCATATTAAATCATTATACTTTTTTTTGTTCGCTTAGAACCAGACATAAAGATCGCTTTCAAAATATATGAGCAATATGTTTCTAGTATGTCTGCATACATGTACTTAAAGGTAAATGAGTCTTTTCATTTTGGTACACAAATCGGCACAATGGAGGTATTGGATATCCATCGTCCATTAGGACTGACCAGAAGGATTATTATGAGATCTATTCCAGGAGTATAATAACTACATTGTTGATCAAATGGCCTTTAATTGATCTGACACTTGACAGAATAATATTTGTCTTGTTCACATGAACAGTTAATGAGTATTTGATTATTTAATGCTTTATCCTGATCAGATATTCATAATAATACATGTACTTCTGGTCAGTCAATTAATATATGCTAAAGTTTACTATTAATTTTTAATGTGTTATTCAGATTATTCTGAACAGAGGTAAACAGACTCAGACCCTTAGATAATGTCACATAACTGCACAATTAAAAACAGACTGAACAAACAATACATAAACACAGAATATACACATTACTATGATATTCTGTGATGAAATTTAACATTGGAACAGGAAAAAAGTACTGTACTGTTATACTATTGCAAGAATGTATTATACTTTTGCAAGAATGTAATATGAACCAATGTGATAGTTATAGAATAACAAAATGTCACAAACATGGTCAGATATAGGACTTGTATCATTGTTTTTGCTTTAAAATATTGTATTGATGGCACGTACACAGATTCAGACTCCAATATTGATGAACAGCATGCATCAATAAAAAAGCATTTCCAACTTCGCTTAAAGATGAAATCATGATTATTTCTAGCGATATGGATATGTCGTTTGATTCCTGGAAACAAATTGATTAAAATGTGCAGACATTAGGATCAAGACTTTCAGGTGATGTAGAAAGAACTTTTTGTCCCTCGAAAGATTTGATTTAATTAATTAACGTGACATTGTATTCGATCATTCATTAAAAATTCATGACACTAGATATTTAAGATTAGGGTCACGTTTTTCTCTGTGAGAATGATTTATTATGTAAGGATATCAGCCGTCACTTGGAATCGTAACTTGAACCATGTCTTAAAGGGCACAACACAGAATATTTAAAGTACATCTTCCTTCCTGTTGCTTGATGTGGAATTCCTGGCTCAGCATAAAAGGTATGGATGGAAATGGAAAATTCAATTTGTTGTTATTTTCTGCTGAATGCACAGTTTGTTCTTTATTGAAACAATCCCCAAGTGCAGCAATATCCCCAAAAATTCCAAATAAAATAAAGCGATAAATAGTGTTAAGAATTAGCATACCCAACTTTGAGAACCTAATAGATTTGGTTTCAAATCAGATGCTTCATTGAAAATTTATACTGCCTATTAGCATTTTTAAGACTATTTAATTTTTCATATAATACAGTATACTCGGTTATTTAACATTGAATTTAGAAAACAAAATGAAAGTATCAACAGTAGATGATAGTCCAGATTGGAATCAAAAGCGTCCCAAGTTTTTAACTAACACTTACATGTATATATATATGTATCTAGGCGTCTCACTTGTTACATGTAGATACAGAATATTGCACAATGTTCAATCCATCATATCTCTGTAAATACAAAATGGAATTGAACCGTTTTTGGACTGATATTTCTTTAACAGATTTAGTTCTCACGATATTGTAATTTGCAAGGGATTTAAAACCATTCAAATAGTGATCAGCAGCTTTACATTATTATAGGCCAATGACCGCTCTTCAACAAATAGAGAAAATGTATGTCTTGCTTTCTGCAACATGGAGGCTGATCAAATTTAAATCTGTCATAACAAATTGAAGTAAAATGACATTTACACCATTTTCCCACCTAATGTAGATTTGAGATTTTTGGTAATTGAATATATATTGTAAATGTTGATATTATGTCTGGAGACATTATCTGTATTTCAAAACAATGTCACATGGTTTCAATTGTTGTGAAATTTGGAAACTCTAAAAATGTGAAGAATGAAATTCAGTGACATTTTTTGTTTGAATTATATAATGTATTTTAGGCATGTGTAACTGTTTTATAACTCTAGTAATAGTTCATAAATGGATTCATCTCATTTCACACCAAGGACTGCATGTCATTGATGCAATCAAATATATTTTGGTGATTTGCAAACAATACACCCACTTTATAAATTTTGACAAAGTTCAAATACAAATTATGTTGCTGAAAAAGTAATTATTTTACTCTATATTCTTAATTGAATTAAGGTCCATGTATGAAAGTTGCTATTTTGTGGGGAGAGAGATGGGGCTTAATTTCAGGAGTACCATAATACATGTACATGGTACATTTAACTCAATTACAGACCTTATGATCTGAAGTGCATGTTAGACTACTTGGCTTCCATATTTCAAATTACTATATCGGCCCAATCAACACGATCGAGTCAATACACCTATGCTCTTGGGGACTTCATGTAACTAATTGGCTGTTCAGATGCTAATTTTTCAATACCAAATCAAGGTCAAACTGTCTTTTGGCAATGGATTGAGTATATTTTGATCTCGAGACATTTTGAATTGTTGAATGCATGTTAGAGATGTTGCCACCATTGTGTTACTGTCAGCATTGGTTGGCACTGCCTTAAATACAATTTGTTCAAGACATTTTGAATCTTTGAAAATGTGCAAGTGTTAGCCAATGGAAGGTTTCCATCAAAGTAAAGCTGGATGTGGTGTTTTTAGAACTTATACATTTATTATTGTAAACTTTCCAAACATTTTTTTAAGCTGAGTCTTGAACACATCACTAGATTTTGGCCGATTTAGAAGACATTCATACCATGCATTTCAAATGGAAAAAAAATGCATATGCAAACCATGTTGTGGCTTCTGAATTTTATGTATTTTTCTTACCATCAAATACAAAAATGTTTTGCAGACGGCTAAAAAAAAGCTCCTACCAGACAGCAATAATTCTTGCATTTGCCAAAAGTTAAAAGATTATGTAACACCCTGTGAAACATATTTTGGGAAAGAAAAAATATACTTATTTAATTCAGTTTTTTTTACCTAAAAAATTGACCTTTTGCCATTTGGAATGATTAAAAGAGACAATAAGATTAATAACCAGACAAACAAATAGTTTTTATCTTTCAACAATTCCTTTTCCTACTTTCTGTCCTCTGTTATTGAAGTAAAGTTATTTATTAGTAATTTCAAAAGTTTATATTAATGACCAGGTTCCCCCTCCCTTGAATTGCTGACAAGCTGTCTGTCCTAGTTTAATTTATTGCAGATTGTGGTTGCTATGACGACTAGGGGAATTTAAAGGGATAAAAATCTGTTGGACATATCTTTTTTAGAGTTTTGACACCAGCTTTGAAATTTGAAACTTTCGCCAGATGAAGAGAAATACAGACTTTTCTTTGTCTTGTGTGCTGGAGCACAGAACTTGACATTAACAAACATTTGGTATACTTGAATACTACTGGCAAAGCTTGCATTGTATGACATAGAGACAAATAGGCTTGCTCCGATATGTAGCCATAGAGGTGTTGTTAAGAAAAAGGCCAATGTTTCAGTACCTTTCAGTTCTGTAAAACTTATTTATGATTAAAATAATACAAATCTTTTGTGCTTAAATGTTACAATATTAATAGATTCCAGTTAATAATGGCTATCTCTCAAAATGCATCCTGGATTAAACTTATTTCATTTTGAATAGTCTTTTCAAGTTTATTGTTTGTTGGCTATTACCTGAAGACCTAAAAATAATGGATCTACATTTTGAACAGTCATTTCATAAGGCCTTCAAACTACTGTTCTCTGCCCTGGTATTGACATGTTTGATCAGAACAAGGGTTTTTAGAAGATGTATGTCATCCTTATTTTAACTTTTATAGACTCAGAACATTTGTAGCAATAATCCTTTCACCAATGTTTTCAAATCAGGGAGTTTTGGTTCTTTTAGGCCTACTGTTCGGTTTATTGTAATTCATTTTCATACATGTTTTATTGAAATATGTTTTGTATAATATTATTAGACAGTCTGGTGACAGTGAAAACAATTTGTCTTGTATTTTAATATGTGAAAAACTGAAGCATCAGTAGAGACAGAAAAAAACTAAACGGCAATATAAAATATTGTAAAATCAATTCTTATACGGCAGGTTGAGTTGTCCAAATTGTTAAAACAACATTTTAAATTTGTCATGTTAAAGGAGAGTAAACTGTCGGCCATGTTTCGACTTGTTTTCAACAATCAACAAACAAGGACGTTTTTGAAATCAATATTGAACAAATATGCTGTTAGTGCAATCTCCACATTACAAGGGTTCTCTGGCATAGAGGTCGAGAGATGTCGCTTCAAATATTTGACATAATTCTCGGTATTTTAAATCCAATTGGATGTTTGAAGTGAAGATACATCCTTATATATGAAAAAGCCTTTCAGGTTCAATTATCAAATTCCAATAGATAAACTGTAAAAACGAAAATTAGAAGCCAGGTAAAACATGGCTGAATAAAAGAACCCTTGCCAATTGGAATTTGATTTGGTGTAAGCGATTTGACATTGCATTTACTTGTAAATTCTTATTTAAACCATTTGAATTTTATGACCAAAGTAAACAAAAATAATCTACAATTTGGACATCATCAAAATTTACCAAGAATAGCAACTGGTTACTGTCAAATGAAAAATGAAGCCATCAAGATCGACTCCTGAATCTCCACATAAAACTACAGAGTGGAAGACTGGCATTATTCTCTACTTTCAATGTTCTTTGTTCATCTATTTATGGGATATTTTCTGTATTTTCAGGTGTACAAATGAGCACATAGGGGAATATTGTCAGGACCAGAACCCATGTCGAGCTAATTTATGTATGAACGATGGAAATTGTCGAGTTATCAATTCAGAATCGGGTCCACCAAGGGCAGAATGTGATTGCAAGATAGGTAGGTCAAGAGGAGTTATCTCCCTTTAATTACATTTCAATAGCTTTTTCCAAATGCTTCTGCTTTTTAATTTGAAAGAATGCTTTTGAGAGAAACAAAATTGTTCTGAATAATTAATTTTTTCTCGGTTATAAAAATAGTACATTTTTGTAAAAATTGTAGAGGCACAGGTTGGGTACATATTGTAATATCCATGTTTGTAACTTGTAAGATGCCTGGTTAGAAATTGCTAGCATATGATCCTGCTATATCCTTAGTCTCTAACTATGAATATATGACATAGGCCTATTCTTTACTTTTGATATATATATATATGTGAATGATTTGACTTGTTTAAATAACCAATATACATGTATTGTTGTTTTATTGTGCAGGCTATAATGGTCATATGTGTGAGTTTGTTGACAGTAATAGTGCTTGTTACAAAAAACGTTGTCAAAATGGAGGAACCTGTATAAACGGACCAACTCTTTCAGATTATACTTGTCAATGTTTACCAGGATTTAGAGGTATGGAAATCTAAAAATAAATTTTAAAATAAAGCCATGTTAATGGATGGATCTATATGTCTTCAGGTTTTAACTTATGATCTCATATCATCCTTCTGTCTACCACCAGACTTATAATGTAGAATAATTTACAATTGATTTAAAGTTAGTTTAACCAAACAACTTATTTGGACTGAAAACAGCTTGTTCTACTTTTTATCATTTAAAAAGGAAGTTGTGGTAAAGAATTAATTTGGGAAAATTCCTTAAAAGTGGATGTTTTTTTTAATCTATTTAATTCGTCTGTTAAGATTTGTGTCGAGCAATAATGTAATGTTTTAGTTTAGTTGAAATCCATGTTTGAATTGTTACTTAATTCGTTTTCTTAATTTTTACATTTTATTAATATTTCAATTTCCAGGTGATGACTGTGAGTATGTGGATCACTGTGCCTCTCAGCCATGTCGTAATGGAGGAACTTGTACATCACATACTAGTGGTTTTCAATGTCAATGTCCTGTAGGATTTTTAGGAAGAACTTGTATGACAGATATTAATGAATGCTCAGCTAATCCAGATATATGTCAAAATGGTGGAACATGCCGCAATACACAAGGATCCTATGGGTAAGTAAATATAACATAAAACTTCAATTGTAAAAAATCAGTGTAGAGTAGTCCGACAAATCTTTTTTTAGGCCAAATTTTGTTATGTCTTGAAGTATTGTGTTTCAGAGACATTAAATAATTCCTAAGTTATGTAAGAAGTAGCCACTAGGAATGATAGAAATAAATAATAACATTTTTATTACCAAGATTGTTTATTAATTATTTTGGTTGTCTCTCACCAGACAGCAAATATGTTAATTTTGGAAGAAATTAAACCTAAATGACAATAACATGACATATCTATTCATCATTCTACCTCATTTATAAACAACAGTTATATCCTGACCTCAAAAGGTCAGTTTTGGACAAGAGAATTAGCTTATTATTATTTATGAGTTACCGGGTATTAATTGTGATCAGAAAAGGCAGAGATTTTTTGGTGGCTATTTTTAAAGAGGTATTAAACAGATGATCCAGAGATATATTATTTTAAGAATTAAATATATATACCGGTACTATTTTTAAAAAAAATGTTATTATAATCTAATAAAGAATTTTGAGCTAATGAAGATCATAAGGTCTGTCCTTGTGGTTTTGATTCCTGGCTTCTGTGTGACCAATCTTGTAGGCTTTCTAATTTTGACATCCCAAGCTTTTCTGCTTTGAAATATGTCTGTAGATATCATATTAAATAAATCAATATTACATGTGGATGAAAATAGACAACTTGGTGATTGGGTATTATTATTATTACAATATTCCTTCTTTTTACGAGGAAAAAACCCAATTTATCATTCTGAAACTCTTTGCATAAACCCCATTTCATTTCTGAAACTCTTCATAAGGATCTGGTTATTTCTTTGATACATTCATTATGCCTGGCCAAAACGCACCAATATTTGAGAGGGTCCTAACAGTACATTTTCTTAGCACATTCACATATTATGCCGTCGCCCCTGTCTGTGGGTCGCCTACAGGGTGCAATTATTATTAGATTGTCTTGAAACTTTATATACTTATTCCTTATACCCTAAGAATGATCCCTATTGTTTTTGGTGCATGCTTGACCCCCAGGTGCAGAGCCACGCCCATTTTTTGTATTTCTTTGTCATCTACAGGACGCATTTCTTAACAGATCATCTTGAAACTTTGCATACCTATTCCTTATACCCTAAGGATCACCCCTATTGTTTTTGGTGTATGCCCGACCCCCAGCGATACAGAGCCACACCCATTTTCTCTTTGTGTGTCTGTGTGTCAACTACAGGCTGCAATTCTTAATGGACCGTCTTGAAAACTTTTCATACTTTTTCCTTATACCCTAAGAATGACCTCTATTTTTTTGGGTGCATGCCCGACCCCCTAGAACAGTGCCTTTGTGTCAACTATAGGCCACAATTCTTAACAGATCCTTTTTCAAACTTTGCATACCTATTCCTTATACCCTACGGATGATCCCTTTAGGTGAATACCCGACCCCCAGGGGCTGAGCCACACCCAGTTTCTCTTTGTGTGTCTAGTGTGTCGCCTACAGGCCACAATTCTTAATGGATTGTCTTGGAACTTGTTATATGTATTCCTTATAGCTTAAGTGGTTTTCAATGTCAATGTTTTGGCAAAACAAACCCCAACGCCTAACCTTCTTTGCCTCTTGTCATATTACAGTCATTGCAGCCATTTCATATTTCATGCTCTTCATTTTAAAAAGTAGGCTACCTTATAAATCAAAGCAGGAATGTGGGCATATATTGCAGCAGTAGCAATGCTCTTGTTCTGATATAGAAAACACCTTCCAAACAAGTTCTGCTGAAATTGGTCACAGATTCCTAGTATTTTCATGTCATAATACAGATTGTATGGACATAATTTCCTAATTACTACATTATATTCTGTTATGAACATGGACAGGTAAATGATTGCTATTTAAGTTAAGTTATATACAGTAGAAAATAGGTTAATTTATTTATTCCGAGCTGAAGATAACTGAAGATATAGCCCATTTGTTTTATTTTAATTCAACATTCTTGGTTTTTTTTCCAGATGTGATTGTTTACAACAATATACGGGTAAACATTGTGAAGATATTTATATTCCCTGTAAACCCAGTCCATGCAAAAATAGCGGAACTTGTAATAAAAATGGAGAATTAGATTACCAATGTACATGTTTATCAGGTAGGTTACAACTTTATTATCCATTAATAAATACAATATGTATCTTTGTCTTCCCCACAGTCATGTACCATTAGCTGCTGTTGGTAGGAGTCAGCGTATTAGTTTTGTTGCCAAACTCGTCATTTAATTTTTTAGACATACACCTGATGATGGTAGATGCATAACGTCTTGAAGCCAGCCATTGTTTACCAACCTCCAAGAAGGTCATTTAGTACAGACCTGCCCATTGAATCCCTAGCCCCACCCGGGAATATCATTGGACCCCATTACAGCTTTTTTACATTTTTACCATCATCTGAGTACAGCACACAGCTCTTCCTTGAGCTTCATGTGCACTTAATATATAGTAGATAACAACTGCTTTCCAGGTTGTTATTCGAAATAAAAATAGTATAGTCGGGACTCGAATAACAACGGTGGAAATATGTTGCTTTAAGATTATCGCCAAGTATCAACCGCTGCTTACCTTGCACACATGGAATTCAAGGCATGTGGTTATTGGAGGTTAATATTACCTCAATATCAGCCACCTTAATTCATCAATAATTACTATGGGAGATAACAGTCTGGAGGTGTATAATATCAAATATCGCACTTAATGATTTTAATGGACCACACAAACCGTTTAAATTCTTTTTCGTTTACATCTTGTTTACAGAAATCGTGTAGATAACAACACATTTTCTCCACAATCACCTGTTCACAACAATATGCTTCATCCACACCTACATGTTTGTAATTTTAGACACACATTTATACAATTGTACAATTCCATTATTTTCACTGCACTGTTATTCATTACTTCTTTTTTAAAAAACTTGCTGGGGTAATGGAGATGATTTTGGCAACATAAGATTTTGATTACAGCGACTCTGTGTAATTATTTGCCATATATTCTGTTTCAATGAAGGCAATCAAAAGCAGGTTTGTCACTCCACCAGACGGTCACAGAATCAATCTTTGGCATTTATCCAATGGAGTTGTTCCCCTTTGGTAGTGAAAGCTATACAGAATACCACTAAAAAAACATGAGAAATTAACTTTTAACTTAGTTTGAGATGGAGCATTATAGCTGTTCACATCGAGTGAATTTAATTGCTTGTAGTCTCACTTTATCTACACAGCCTTATCTGATCACCAAAACAGAACAAACAGTACACATATTCATCAATTGATAATCAAAAATGTAAAATTGATTCAAGCATATAACTATATGACAATCTTAAGTAGTATCAGATGTTCCAGGAGAAGAGGACGCATACATTGCTTGATTGACAGCTTGATTACTGTACAGATAGGTACAGAACATTTGGAATAAAGAGTTGGATAACTGTTGTCACAGGCAACAGAGCAAGTGCTAAGTGGTATGGTGTACATGTATGATGGGGCATCCTTCTCCAATGTTTTCAAAATCGTTTATATTATGGACGTGTATATTTCAGAAACGAATTGGCTGATCTGTTTCAGGTTTTGCATACAATCTTATTTGACCACCACCCTCACTCCACCTGAATATAACTCTATAGTCAAATCACATCAAATAGATTTACAAATTAAGAGAGGCATTCAAGATGATCTGATAAAAAAAATGATCAAGTACAAATTATAGAAGATTATTTTCTGTATTTCAGCTGTAATAAACTAGTAATGGATGTTGCTTTAACACAAAAGACATCTTATTTAACAGGCTGACCAATTCTGATCAATCCATCATCATAAGATACTAAAAATAGATTGATCATTTTAAAGTGGGTTCCGCCCCTTTTGTGACACCTTGTATTGTGAGTCTTGTTTTTTCTACAAGAGGACTGCCTTTGAAAGGCTTGCATTTTGAACTTTAATTGCCACTTATGTTGTAATTATTTACTCTTTCATCAGTTATTCAATGGCAGCTGTCAATCAAAGTTCAATTTTGTTTCAACTATTTTGTACCAAACTGTTTTTGCCTTTGAGTCAGAAGAAAATTTGATGTTTTAAAAGTTCTGAAATGAAATTGATTATAAAAAGATTTAGGTTTTAGTTCGACCTTTAATATTTTTTAAATTACTGCAACAGCCTTCCTTGAACCGTGAAAAGATAATTTATGTAGCGGCCATACCTGAGCAATTTTAATATACAACTGCCAAAATTAATTTACAAATGTTTTTATTTCATAGCTTATTTTCATTACACTTAAAGATACATTATGGGAGATTCGATAACGAGTTGGCAGTTCTCACTATAATAGTTAAAAACTAGATAATGTAAAGGCAATTTGCTGAAAATTTCATTTAAATTGATCAACTATGAACCGAGAACAAAGCGAATGAATAGTCTTGATTATCCATTTAATCGTTAAATCGTGAAGGAAAGTTATGCAGTAAATCGGCTCACAATCCACTAAAGATCGCAGGCCCGCGATGCCATCTAGAGTTGAATATGGTCTGGATAGGTTAATTAATGTCTAATTAATAATTTAGATAAAATTTCAGGTCTAAAGAAAGACCTGCAATAGACAGATTTAGCTCTTGCATAATGTATGTTTAAATGTTTTATTCCAAACATCTAATTTTCATTTAATTAGTTTTTTATTTGTTTAAATTTCTTTTAGTTGTAAGATATATGGAAATTCTACACCCTGTTTCAATATGAAAATTTTTTTAAACATTTATAAGAGAGAATCTTAAAGTAAAGACATGTTCAGTATATGAGAAGTTTTTTGGTTATTGATACTATTGGAGTAAAATGATACAAGTAATAAGATTTTCTATCAAGTTTCATTAAGAAGCAGTTAAAACATTTCATGTGGAGACATTTTTACAGGATGTTGTCTGACAACGATGAAATGCTTTAATTAAATGTTAGCCAATAAAATATTTTTTCTTAGGGAAGATATTAATGTCTGCTTATTTGGCTGTCACTTGACAAATTTCTCACAGAATATTTTTTCTGATCCAGATTGTCTATAAGTATATTGTACTTATATGTTAAATATTTCATTAGTCTAATTGGCCACCAATTTTAGTCAAAGTGGAAGCTCTATCATTAACTTACTCCATGAGCATAAATAGGTCATCTTTTTGACACACATAACTTTCAATTTCTGAAAGTATTTACGAGTGTGGGAGCCACAATGACTCAGTGAGAAGGGTGTTGTCTCGCAAACCTGGAGATTCCGGATTTGATCCTGGTTTTGGCTGTGACAGTTCCTCAGAGATTTCCATGGTTTCCCCTTGTCAGTAATGCAAGACGGAGGGTATGCAAGTAAAAGAACTATTGAATGTTGGAATTCAAAAAAAGGCAAAATTACCCTCATAGCACACTGTATGGCGTACGCCCGTCTACATTAGCCCAGTTGAACCCCATTTCATTTACATAAGGTATAATATATTTGTTGATTAATATATTTTCCCCAATATTTTGAATATATTTATATTTTAAATTATTTAAATAATTTTTGTCCTTAGCTAAAAAAAACCCACCCTAAAACGTTTGTGTAATTTTGCATTGATTCCTGTTTGTACATTGCATGACCATTCATTCGAAAAATTTCTGAACCCTCAAATATTTTTGAAATGGCAATAAAATTCAAAATGTTTTTTCAACTTCAGGAGTTTTTGTTCCCAGGACTGGAGAATATTTGAATAGTTTGTGTCATATTTTGAAGTAAATGTTCAAAGTTCAAACCTAAACACAATGACAGCATCACGATTTAATCTTCTTACACGTTTTTTTGTCTTGGTTCAGCTGTGTAATGTAATAGGCTTTGTCTTGTGTTTATTAAGGATCTGAGATTATGTCATTGACAAAATTCTTCCTGTTTTGGCCATGATGGCATGACATCGAGAAAAGATATCGAAACTTGTCTGCAAATTTTACACTTTGCCATAAAACCGTGTTGGAAGGTCAGAAACCATGCCGGCCTCCATTGAGAAATAGTGTTGGCTTTCTGTTGGTAAACATAGTTTACATTTTTTGGTTACCAACACCCATCGACAGAGATACATGTCTTTTGGTCTCCTTTTTCAAGGACAAAGAAACACTGTCCAAATTGACACAAAAGAGCCGAAAATACTTTGAGGTAAACGTTGAAATGATTTAACCAATCAATAGAGACTTGAACAAGGCTCAAATAATATGTAGTAACTGCTTAGACCCTGACTTACACAGAAAGATGAGTTATATACAAGAAACCTTTCATTAAAATTAGACAACTAGGTTTGATTTCATAACTTTTTTGGCATTACATGCATTATATCGAAATTCAAATAATACAATATGTTGGGTCTCAGAATGACAAGTTGTGTCAAATGGATTATAAACCCTCTTTCTCTTTTAAATTGTTTAATCATGAGCAATAACTATCTAGAGGGATATGACCATACTTTCTTGGCAATATGCAGATTATTTACAGTTCTGGTGATTTAAATGATTGTTTTCTTAGAGCATGTTTGGCGTGGTTTCGATTCCCCAGTTGTATGTGACAAAGAGTAGGGTCGCTTGTCTAACCTCATGGGTTTTCTGCGGATCCTCCGGTTTCCCCTCACAACAAAGACCCCTACGCGCAAGTGAATTATTGAAATAAAGAAAGTCAAACCATTTGTTAGTCCCAAAATGACCTAGTTTGTGTCAAATGGAGTTACCCTCCACCCCTCTCTCTCTCTCTCTCTCTCTGTCAAAGGACATATTGCAGCCTAAATGTGAAAGGTATGTGGTAAATTTGTCAAAAATTAGTTTTTATCAAGCAGAAATCAGAACATTTTTGTCCAAAAGTAAAATATTTGGGGAATCTTTGTTAATAAATTTGTAATAAAAACTATTCCAACATTAATCTCAAACTTTTAAAGGGGTCCCATTCACGTAGAGTTTTATATGATGAAATTCCTAATTGCTAAATATAAACTTCAAGGAAATTTAATAGCAATATATCTATAATTACTAAATTGGAATTTTTATGGAGCTTTCCTTGAGATATTTAGACTTATTGTCTCTGTAGCAAATCTTCTCAAACATATATGAAA